TAGATATCAGAATTTTCACACTGGAGTCTCTTGAGTGTACAATTCGTGTTCCCCACACTATTTCCAAGTGTGATGCATCCTCAGATTTCAACTAAGAAAATTAGTATTTCCGAACTAGCCGTTAAAACAGTTTCATTTTTGGTGCCAGGTGCCTCCTGTGGTCATAGACTCGTTTTCCCCACACCTTTCCCTGGCACCTCCCCATGAGCCCTTCTTTGGCATGCACCTTTCATTGTTAAAGGCCGTGTGTGGCTGTGGAGGCAGCACGTGTCCAGCCAGGCCTAGAGGTAGCTTCCACTGCTTTATTTTTAACTTTCAGTCCCTACTTGACTTAAGTAATTTCTCTGGGAAGAAGCTATCGTCTAATTTTAAACTGTGTACATTTAACCTCTCAGCCACCACAAGTGTTTATTTAAAACAATCAGAGTAGCTGTAGTGTGGCATAATTTTCACACGTAGCCCACTGAACCTGGGCTTTTATTTCTGGCTTTTCATATATGCATACGGTAAGTTTTTGGTAGTTTGTCTGCTTCTTAACTTGGAAAGTTACAGGTATTTTTCAGTTGTGAGTCACAGTGGTCAGGTTAAAGACATAACTGTCTGCTAAATGGAACTGAATTCCAGGGCCACACTTTATGAGTCTTGTGATTCTTGGCACGTTCCTGATCTCCCCATACCTCTTATCTACAGATAATAGAACATCTAACACAGCCTCTCTTAACAATCCCTTGGTGGTTGGGCTGTGGATCCACAAGATCAAGGATTTTCTCTGTGTATTTCTGTCTTTCCAGGACCTAAAACAGTGTGTGCCTTGGGTAGCACCTGAGCAGTGTTCACTAAAACTCAGTAGGATATACATGTAGTGCATTAGATGTGGTACTGGAGCAGAAGAGCAATGAAGTGTGATGAGATTTCCCTCAGCGTTCTCAAAGCTCTTAAGTGTTACCAAGGATGCCTCAAAAATGACATTTATTTTCTAAATATCTCTTGGAGAAGAAGTACTGATCTAGCACTTAGACATTCTATATTGACCTCAGATAATGCTCCTAGTGATAAAATAAATTTGATCTCTTGCCATTGAGTCTGCTAAAATAATTTCTGCGTGACTCATGAGTAGAAAAGAAAAATGGAAATTAAAGCCTAGTCTCTAAAGTTGTGTGTGTTCGATTAAAATTGCAATATAAAATGACTGGACGATTTTTTTTTTTTTTTTTACTATTCCCAGTATGAAATGTTTGGTGTTTTCTGAGTTTGTTCTGACTCTAAAAGAAGGAAACAGTATCCCTGAATTGTTCTTTTACTTACAGCATCTCACTCAGCAGACCTAAATAATAGTTTTAAAAAGGACCATATCTTTTTTTCCATTTAATTTTCCATATGCATTTTCTAGAGTTTTTACAATTGTAGAGTTAGAAGTGTCTCAGAAATAATCTCATTTTGCACACCATCCCTTCCCATGGTTGAAAATATAAATAAAAGAGGTGGGCCTGGAGATGGCTCAGCAGGTAAGTTAGCCCTGTGTTCCATCCCAGGACTACCATGGTGGAGGGAGAGAACTGACTCCTGCACTTCGCCCTCTCACTCACGTCCACACATGCATGTACACACACAGACGCAAAATAAATAAATGTAAAAAAAAAAAAAAAAGTAGGCCTTGCTAGAGGCAACAGGAAGATGAGAAACACATTTCCCACTTTTCACCAGCCCTGTATTGCCTTCCTTCATGAAAAGCACAGAGCTAGCAACCAAGTCTAATCATAAAATACAGAATTCTTGAGTCATGCTATTATTTCCTCTTTAAGCCTTTGCAGAGATTAAAGTGCTAAATTTGGGGCTAACCTGTTAAAAATGTGCTGTATGCAGTTCTTATGAAATGTCCCCGACTGGCAGCGTGATGGCAGAGCTTGTGTTCTCTTGAACTTACTGTAGAACTTCCAAAAACCATTTTCTTCAGAATACATTTTGAGATGCATTTGCTTTCTATGACGTTTGTACCATGTGAAACACTTCTTGTATAGCTACAGTAGGTCAGTTGATGTGGAAGTGTTTTATTTTTACATTTGAAAGTTTGCTGCAGTGTAGTATTAGTATAGGCTAAACAAAGGTCAGATAACATTTTCTGTTGGAGTTTCCCTCTAATGTCAAACTTTTTAGTTTTTTAAATATCCATTTCTTATCCACCATGACTCATGTCAGAAGGTTCAAGTGGAATAAGTATCGACTTTTGTAAAGTGTATTCTCATCTTACCTATAACCATACATTCTTGAAAGATAAGTGGAATTATGTGTCCTGCTGCTTTGAGCTCCTCACTACGTAGCAGTTTACTTGATTGTTTTACTATGTAGTCCTATCACTCCCCAATTCTCTTTCCTGTAGGGCTATTTAAAAAGTCACAACATTCTGGAGGCAACAGTAATAATAGAAACAGCTGTCATGAAGTTTAAAAAAACGTTTTTAGGAAATAATTATATCTTCATTAAGTTGAAATGTTGAAAGCATAACACTGCATTTAAATGCACTGCGATTTTTCCTAAGCACCTAAACTTTTAGTTCCGTTTGCTACATAGAGATGGGTAAATACGAATTCGTCTATACTGTGATAGAGTTGAACATCTTTGCTCAGTGTCAGCAGCAGAGCTGAGACTAGAGCAGAGGGCCACATTAGGGGACCTGTCAGAGGGAGGCAGCAGAAGCTCCTCTTTGGCCCCTGCTCAGCTGTAGTTGTGAATTTACCCAATTGTTAATTGTAATGCAGAAGACAAGCCTGCTCGTCTTAAATAATGACTCTTGTAATGTGTCCCTGAAGGAGGTGAGTCACAAACTTAGCTGTACATTGTAATATATTCTCAAGAAATCTGTAATTTACCTATAGAGATAAAACATGCAGATACAGTAGAAAGATGTTCATTCTTTGGATGAGGAAGGAGAATCAGCATCTTAGTTTAAAATAGTGGTGCAGAGTCTGTAACTTTATGATGACCTCACTACAAAGGGCTTTTTTTGACACTAAAATTTTCTTCATTTAAAGTTTAGTTTAATAGAATTCCTAATCACTCTTTTTCTCTGTTCCCTTGCTTGTGGGTGTCATTGGTGAGTTGGGTTTGTGTTGCAGTTAAGGTGTTATGCTGGGGCTAATCTCTGTAAAGTGCTGGCATTTGTTCTACCTTTTCCTGATCATCAATCTTTCACACTCGCACGAAACCTCTAATGTATCAGCAGCTTTCCCAGAGCTCCTGGTTAAAATTACCTTTGCTTTTGGTAAACTCTGAACCTTCAAGCTCAGTGTTTTCAGCTGCCCCCTGTGGATTCCAGGAAGCCTGTCTCCACATTCCTTACTGCCAGTCACTGGCTTTATGCCCTGGAACCAGAAGCCTGTGTGCAGCACTCATTACTCCACTTGCACCCTCCACTCTTCCTAAGCGAGGAAGCATGTGCATATGACCAGGAATTGGTGTTGCTTGTGCAAACTATGAGGAAGTGGTCAGAGCCCCCAAAGCTGGAGGCTTGTGTTGATTTTCCACTATAATGGTGCTTTAAACCTAGTGTTTTTCTGAAAGTTTTCTTGCTTTTCTGACACTACTGAAATTTACAAACTTGTCTGCCAGGTAAATACTACAGTTAGATAATTTCTTTTTTTGTTTGTTTTTGTTTTTGGTCTTTTTGATAATTTCTTAAAGTTTGTCTCCCTATTTTCCTGTCAGTGGTTCAGAGTTTCTTTAAACTTTGGATTCTCTTGCTTACATAATCTTATTTTCACTTGTTCATGTCATAAGTACTTCTCTCTCATCCATTCTGACCAAGACTGTCTATTTTTAGTAAAAATAGGTTGCATTATAGGTAGATTTCCTGGGCCCTTAGTTTGTGACATTTCCGTGTTTAGCACAAAGGGTTGCTGCACACAGTAATTAGTTGTAACTTTATTCTTCTAGAAAACTGACTTCTCCCTCTGAGGATTTTGCTTTGATTATTGGTGTGACTCTTTTTATTGTCTCTGACTAAAGACCCCTGTACAGTATTGAGAGTTAGCTCATTAAGATTTACAGTAATGCCTGGAGACTTCTTGAAAATTAAAGGAAAATGCCCCTTTCTCCACGAGTAGTGGCATGTTATTAGTAGCTCTTGCCTCTGGTGAATAAGATTCGTAGATTTGTAGGTATCATGTGTAAACCTTGTTTGGCAAAAAGCCAATGGTGCAATAATAGTTATGAAATTAAAGATTCACGTTGAAAGTGACTTAAATGTTTTTACCCTTCAGAATATGATATAATTGCTTTTGTTTGCTTTAAAACACTGTTAGCATTTTGGAAAATAACCACAAAGAGAGAAGAAAGTATTTGCACTTTAAAACAAACAAAAACAAAATTTTTCCAAATTGTCTCGTTTTTAAAAAGATCTTGGTAGTAGCAAGAACTCGGCCCCTTTCGCACAGGTGCCAGTGCCCTGTCTTAGGTCAGCAGCAGTATTTGATGTAAAATGTCCCTGTGCTCCCTCTGAAGGTTAGCTGACACAGTGCTAACAGTCACATCATCTCCATTAGGAGCCAGAACTCTGTTCTCAAGGATGCCTGTGTAAAACCTAGTAAGTATGTTGTATTTATATGTGCCCTTCAAAATACTAGTAAACTTGTCTTAAAATTATGTTTAATTATTTGAAGTAACAGAAGCCATATTTAAAAACAAAATCCATGTGAATCATTTACATGGGTGTTTCTCTTAAAATTCCTTTTATTTTCTCTTATTTATGATCCTTGAATCCTCCTGGATTTATCAAAGGAGAATATTATTTGAATTTAAGCCACCATACTCTTATTATATTAGAGATATTAATATGTTCTTTTAAGGAGTAAAGAAGAAATAAAATTTTGAGTATCCTTAATTTCAATTGCATGATCATAATGAATTTTTGGTAACTTTTTTCAATCTAAGATTTGGTGTGTAATGTCTTACCATAGCTACATCTTCATTTTTACAGTGCTGGGTTCATTTGGTTGTCTTTTCAGTGGGCACACCTTACTACATGTCTCCAGAGAGAATACATGAAAATGGATACAACTTCAAGTCTGACATCTGGTCTCTTGGCTGTCTGCTGTATGAGGTAGGCAGTGATGAGAAATTCAGTACATCGATACATTTTCGCTTGCTGTATTTCTCCAATTGTACAGTGTATACTTTTTTCTGGATGATGTTATAGAGTCAGCTTTTCTTACAGTGAATTAATTCATTCATAACTTTTCATAATGGAATTTAATAATATATCCCCACATACTAATTTCCTCTAAGGTATTTTCACATTCTTTTTGACAAGGACTTTCTTTTTTTTTTCAATATTACCTTATTTTACTATAATGCTTTTCTATCCATCTCATTTACAAATATATATATATATGTGTGTGTATATATAATATGGTGTGTGTGTGTGTGTGTGTGTGTATTTTTTGTGAGGAGGTGAATCTGTGAAAAACAGTGGATTACAGAAGAATAATGAGGTAGATTTGAAATATGAAAGTATCTTTGTCAGTGTTTTGTTTCACCTTTACACAGGTGAAATTCAACTTTATGGATAGTATGAAAATAGGTAAGTCTTCTAGGTTGTCACTTATATAGGTTTCAGAAATTCTGTGCTTATCACAAGACAGTAGAGTCATGTAGATCAATTCTATGGCAATACTGCATTGCAACACTTTGTAACTATAGAAAAAGCATATAGCTAGCCTGGTTTATACCATTTTAGAGAGCAGCAGTATTGAAGAGTACCCCAAGTTAGTGACTTTTATAATTTAAGTTTTAATTGTATGTCAGGAAAATACAGATTTTGTCAGTGATGTTAATTAAGGATAATCAACGTCTAAGTAAGTTCTAGTGAACTGAAGAAATACAGTACATGGAAATATTTTTGTGTCTCAAGAAGGAAATCTAAAGTAGATGGGTAGAAGCTAGTATATTTATCACCCTCTGTTTGCCATCCCGGCTTTAATGAATGTGTGACAAGGTCATCTGTTATAATTGTACCACCTTTACGTGGAAGTGCAGCATGGAGGTGCTTTTTGAAATGTGCATTATGGTCTTTTGTTATTTTACTGAGCACAGATTTCCATTCCTTAATTGAAGGAACCTAGAATTAGTGATTTTTGTTTTTCCTACTAATGAATGATTACTCAAAGGATTTAAAAATGTTCTTAAATAAACTCATCCCACTTTTTTATTCTGAAATATTATGAATTAGTGATGTAGCAAAATGTGTGCTACTGTGTGCCCATGAGATGACAGGAATCATGCTGCTATAATGTTTACAGTTAATTACTTCATATGTTTTATTTTTTATCTATAGGTAATATTAGAGTTCTTCAGGCCAAAAATCTAAGTATCCTCCAAGAAACATTTTTCCCTTTAAATACCTAAAAGTAACCTGCAAGTAAGCTTCTAATAGTGGGATTAAATTTAGCAAAGAAGTTGAGATGAAATAGTGTTTGGGAAAGAAGTTATGTAATCCTTTCAGGACCAGCAAGCTTGTATCAGAACTGAAATAATTTTTCATGTTTCACATTTGCCTTTGAGAGGTAGGATTTTTTATGAATGCTTCAAGTGACCACCAAAATAAATATCAGTTCTCTGAGCATCCCTTCATTCTTGAGTTATGTGTTGGGGTGATTTCAGGTTAAAGTGTTCACAGTGTTAGCGTCTATCTCTGTGTACATTCCCAAGTCCTCCATGTAAGACTGGGAATGTTTGTAAGATTTAATCTGTCTTCATGTTCTGTGTCCTCTTAGTTATTTTTGAATGCAATGTTAATAGAACTATCCAGCAATTTTTCTTTGAAAAACTGACTGTAATATCACATAAATCTTTTATGTGATAACCCCCTAAGAAATTACTATTAACAATGAAAGAGTAGGAAGCCTTTTTTGAGAATGTATTTTAAACTCAGAAAATTAGACTTTCAAATATTCTCAAAACCTTTGAAAAAACTAGCAGTACAGTTTTAATTGATATGCAACAAAGTAGACTTTACTAATTAAAATCAAGATGCTGTGCTTTTGCTACATGGACCTTTACATGGAAAAGTAGGTTTTACACATTTCCTTTATTGTTCAGCACAGCAATTGCATCCTTACAGGGTTGTAGGTTGGTGGCTTACAGTTCAAAAAAAAAGAGAGCTGCCACCAGCCCTGAAGACAGACAGTGGGCTTTCGTCCCTCCGACACCCCCAGAATACTAATGAGGAAAGTCAGACCCTGGAGGTCAGAGAGCAAGTCAATCATTCTAGCGATCGTCTCAGTGTGGAGGATCAAATTAGCCTGAAAAATTCAGCTGCTGGGAGGAGAGGGCGAGCAGCTGTCAGGGGCAGCATCGAGATGCACTAATGAACCAGATGAATAGTGCAAAAGCTTGAAAATAAAAACAGGACAGTTGACATTTTTCATCTGTCAAAGCAGGAGATGCATGAAAATATACTATTCCTGTTTAACTCCTTAGGGGACATTCAGATTTTTTTTTAACACTGCAGTATTGAGACAAAAGTACTGTAATGAACTCCTAGCATATGATTGCAGATGTATGTACATTTACTTAAGGTCTTAGAAAGGTGATGAGACTTCTGTAGTTTATATATGCAGTGTATTTTTAAGGTGGCATTTTTAACATTCTATTTTATCATAAAGTCTCCTTGTGTTTTAAACGAAAACCTTGCTTATTATGGTGGTCCTCCTTTGGAAATTCCCCTCAGATAGTGTTTTGTGTGTTTAGGGTATGCAAGTTATTATGTATTTTATGTCATGGTATGGAGCAACTATTCCTAAGGTTGTTCTGTATAAGCGTGTGCAGGTTTTCTGTAAAAATACAGGCTAGGTAAAAATGTATAAAGCTACTTTCCAGGCCAGATTTCTAATCCAGTCCCCCCCTGGCTGAGGCTCTGAAGGAGTTAAAGGCCTGTCTGGAGCACAGAAGACAGATGAGAGCCATTTTCAGCTTGTTCTGTCCCCACTGACGCTCACTGAGTAGCACAGCATGGACCAGCGTGTTTCACACACACTCTGCCTGTCTGGGGAATGTACACATTGTCCTTCCAAAATCAAACTTATTAGCACATGTAGAAAAGGGTGACTGCCTTTGGGGCAGCCTGGCCCTCCATGTTGTGTGCTTGCTGCTGCAGTTCAAAGAGATGGAAGGTTTTGAACAGGATGCGAACATTTTAAATTGAATTTTTAGTTTGTAACCTTGCTTACCAAGTAGTTGCTTGCACTTTTAAATGTCAAGTTAGAACCTTGTCTTAAAATAAATTTAAATTCAGTAATGTCTATTTTAAAGTTGCTCATCCTCTGAGTCGTGTTTGCTGCATAAAAATCACATTTGGACGCCTTGAATTGCTGCTAGGCTTCATAGTGTTTTGAACACATTCAGTGTTTTTGAGACATTATCAAAAGAAAAGAAGCTCTGATTTATTGTAAACTATTTGAGGATCAGTTATGATATTCAAAAGAAGATTTTTTTTCTCTCAAAATAACCTTTTCATAAAGAATATTCTCTGTATGGTGAGATGATATGGGCTCTATTCCCTAAACTTTGGCTAAATTATAATTCAGTTTTAACTTCAGATTTATGTTCTATTTCAACCATTTATA